CATTAAAAAAAAATTTCAATAGCAACTCAGACGATTTTTCAGTTGACATGGCTTGGTCTTCTTTTCTTTATGAATTAAGAGGACAATGATAGTTCAGTCTTTTGCTACAATTAAATCGTGAAAAAGCAAGACAGTTTTATTGGTAAAATTAGTAGTGACATTCAATCTCCAGTATTTTGGTGAGTCATTATATCTTGCTGCCTTTATTATGTGTTGCTTTTAGAGAACTGTAGACAATATCTAGATGATTGAATTTACTAATGACGTATGACTGAAATTATCACATGTGAAAAGTTTCAGAAGATCTGATGAGATTGCAACAGATTTCATCGTAATAGTTAATGATCGTTGTGACGCAATTTCTTGTTTTTCTCTTATCTTTACGATTTCTTCATTTTAGTGTTGATCTTGACAGTGTTGGCTTCTTTTTCTCGTCTCTTGTGTGATTGCTAAATAACGATGAGTTCTTAATCTTATAGATACCACTGCAGTGATGAACAAATTCAATAAACATTATTATTAAGAGCAGCACTAGAGCTACTCTTACGCTTCGTCATATTGATGAGAATAGATTCTGTTGTTTTCATCTTGATTAGTTTGTTCTAGAAATTATGAATAAGAATCAAATTATCGTGCATCTGTGTAATTTTCAATATTTTCTTAAATGAATCGTTTTCTGAAGAGAAAAATGTAGATTGTTAATTTCAAATTGAATTTCAAATTTTTCTTTTGTATTTATTTGATTTAATTTGAATTGTTTCATAAATTAATGGTCTGATTTGAGAGACCAAAAAAACCATATACAAAGAAATAGAGACCAAACATACGATGCGCTATCTCAATTCCAACGACTAGTCAAGCAAATAAAAGATAAGTTCAAGCACAAGTGATGGAGCTGTACGTGATACATTGTCAGATGCTTTCATAACAATTGGAATCATATGATCATCAAGTTGACTTAAAAAGAATGCTGATAACTGTTCACCATTCGAACCGGCTAAATATGATGCCTAAGAAATAAATAAAGAGAATATAAAATAAAAATCTATTTTTCCCATAGATTAATTTTAGACTTACGTTTTCTCGATCAATTGTAACACGTAAACCTAATTTACGACATTTAGCTTCAACAAGCATATCCATAAAAGGTGTTAATGCTTGTATAAAAGCTTTAGCAAGTGAATCAGCTAAACGTGTTGGATCAAATGATTCATTGTTATTTAAATGGCATTGAATAAAGAATAAGTCTGTCCATCGAAGACGAAATAATGAAGAACGTTGACCAGCATAATGAATTCGTGAATTACGAATTCCATCCATGGGAAAATAATCAATTGGTGAACGAACTCTATTATGAAAAAAGTATTTTTTATACCTCATTGAATTTAAAATAAAATGCACATGAATTTTTGCGTCTTACAAAAAAAAAGCTTTTCATAAAACAAGAGAATATGTGAAATAAAAGTTATTCTATGTATTTAAACAATAAACACTCTTTAATTCACTTTACGCTATTATAAAGTGAAACAAGAAATTCTCCGAACAAAAGAACTAATATAACACAAAATGATTAGTAAGTGTTGAAGTATATAATGAGAAAGTTGAACACTTATTCGGCAACATAGGGCGTGTCAAAATTCCTCTTTGATAAGATAGAAACTAGCAATGAGCAAAATCGAAAATAAAACTTCTTTTTCGTCATTGCTAGTTCTCGAAGAGGGTACAAACGATTCGTATGAAATGTTCATTAAAGAATTTTGATTTTCCATACGATGGTATCGAGTCCATATGGTCCTCTGGAAAACCCGAATTCTCCGAAAGACCACCAAAATCTCGTTCAAAATGTTTTTCTCGAAAGCATGTCTCCTTATTTTAGGTGCTCTATCAGTGGAGGTTGTACTCTGTTCGAGAAACAGAAATAGCCAGAAAAGAAAGGATACCCTTCAATCACGAGGATAGAGTTAGATGTTTTATGAATCGGAAGAATTGTCTCTCATATATATGATACCACCTACTATTAAAATAGTAGCACATTCCAACTACGATCTTCTGCTCATCACAGGATACAGTAACTAGCAAATTTTAAAACAATATTACTAAATTCTTCTCATTTAACAATAAAATGAGCTACATTGTCTTTCTTTGAAAACATTTCTCTTACCCTCGATTAATATCATTATCATCATCAACCCATAAAAATTCTACAAGTTGTTCACTAGAACTTTTTTTTTGCATAATATTTCCATTTGTTGAATCTATTTGTTCTTCAACTACAATTGATCGAGCTTTAGCTAATATAGCATAATCTTTTCTTTCTTTTAAACATTGTTTAAGTACTTTAAGCGCATCACCATCTATTTGTAACATAATTCCATCTTCAATTGCATTTACTTTTGCATTAAGATTATTATGTAATGAAAAACTTCCACTATTTTGTGTATCTAATGGTGAACTTGATGGACTATCACGAGAACGAAGACTTGCATTAACAACAAGAAAATTTCCACCAATCATTATTTGATCATTATTAGAATCTACTGATGAACATATACGTGTTTCATATTGTTGGTCAGTAGAGTTTTGTATTGTAACAAGATGTTTTGAATGCATTTGACGATTTATATTCATTATACCAAAGCTTAATGCATGTGGACTACTTTGTTCAAGTGATTTTAACATATCATCATGACGATTACGTGGAATACGTATTGATACAGAACCTTGAATACCAACTGATATTGTTACACCACGTATTGTAGGTAACACATAAGTAAATGAACGAAAATCCTATTGATATAAAATGAAATATTTATAAATAAAATCAAATTATTTTTTTTTTGGGTGGTCAGAATTTCGTCAATAGAACATTCACCAATGGCGAAAGTCAACTGCACTTATGCCAATTGGCGAATTCCACAGGATGTGTTGGCGAGAGTAAGATGGGTTTTCGTAAACTGTCACGAAAAAATATTAATATAGGATACATATGAGGACTGAAGCTAATATTGTTATAATATATATATGTATATCATAGCTTACACTCAGGATACGTCCGAATATGAGCGGGTCATGCTTTTAATAAGAACAAAGCGAAATTAGTATGAAAAAAAGACAGGATTGAGCGTAAGAGTTGATGAAAAAAACCTTCATATTTGGCTACAACATAAACGAACATAATCGATCAGTGTAGTCGATAGAAATTTTTTTAATCCATATCTAATTCCCAGTCAAATTGGTGAAGCTTCAGGGAATGTATTGGCGAAAGTACAGCAGACTTTCGCCAATTGATGAAAGTATATGGAGGTATATTGGCGAAATTCCGAAAACCCTTTTTGTATTTGTATGTATTTACACAAAGTAAACTCATTATTGTTTGTTGAGTATCACTGAACATTGAATCTCGATTAATAATGCTAAATAATGGCCATGGATAACCTGAAAAGAAGACTTTTTATTACAAAAAAAAAAGACAATATGTCTGTTTACTTTTATATTCATAGCCTAATCGAAGTAGAAGTCTCATTGGAAAACATTGAGCAGTTGGTAATTCTAATCGATGAATAAGAATACCGAAAATATATGGTGCTTCAGGAAATAAATTATATAATGATGTAGGTTCAGATATATAAAGAAATCCAGTTGCAGTTGATGAACCAAGAAATGTTGTTGAACTCGATGAAAGCGATAAACCCAAATGACGAACAAATGAACCTTAAATAAGTTAATATTGACTTATCGATTTGATATGTTTCAATACCTTTAGTTGCATCAATATATATTTGATGAATATGAGTAAGAAGATCAGAAATAATATCATTTTCATTATTAATATTTTCATCAAATATAAAAACAAGTTCATCTTGAGCAACTGTACATAAGCCACGAGTCGAAAAAATCCAACAATGACCACCATTACGATTTAAATAACAATCGACTAAATTTATGAGAAACAAATATTTAATGAAGGTAAATATAGTTTTCTCTTTTTACAATTGTCAACAATTTTGCTGATGACAGTCAAATTGTTATGAATACGAAATTCAATAGATGGTTCATTTGGATCTAGAAAAATAAATTATATTTTAATAGTACTATATGAACCATAAAGAAAAGAAGAAAAAACCTTTCAATTGTCGTATTCTTTCTTCAAGCTCTTGTGCTGTTAATGTTTCTATAAATATAATATTTTTGTATTACATAGATACATATATTTTTTAAATCAAACCTGGTTTGAATAATGATATTTGATCTGTATCAGTTTCATTTCGTATTTTAACGGATGACATGATATTAGTTGCTGCCGTTGCAGCTGCACTAGAGGCAGCCGTTTCGATACCCGGTTTAACACCATCATCAAATGTTACTGATTTTTTATGTTCTAATCCTTGTCTACTAGTAGAACTTGGTCCTGCTGCTGAAGGTGAAGTTGATGGTCCTAGAGTAAGAATGATATACATAAATAATATATCGATACAAGCATAGAGAAGGACAAATAAAATAAAAGAATTGGAATGAGTTCCTAATAATTCTATTATTCGTCTTTTTCTTTCTAGAAATTCTATTGAATAGAATAAAATAAAATTCATTTCCTTAGGCTCATATTAAAATCAAAAATTTAGGTAGAACAGAAAAAAGTAACGCTATTTATTCTTTTTCTTCTTTAGAGCATAATTTAGAAAGCAGTTTATACAAAAAGCTCAGGTAGCATTTTCTCGACTTCTTTTATTAAAACAAACTTACAAAGAACAAGAGAAAATGTGAGAGAAACTGTTTCAAATCTTATTTAAGTAACCTTCATCTGCAGGACATCAGGAGAAGAAGAGAGAGAGAAAGAGAAAGAGAGTGGCTGGCATGGTAGCCGAACAGTGGGAGGCTTTATTGTTTTGCTTAAACTTAACATACTATCGTCATGCACAATTCTTTTCAGCTTCATAACTAATATTTTATTCTTGTTGTCGGCAACGATAATTACAAATCGCATTGAACATTTTTAATAATCCATGGGAAGTAATTATGACTACACATACGAATACGAACTAACTGATTCAAACAAACACAATCGAACTAATCGTGATAATACCGGACGTCATACTCAAAGAACAGCTGGAAATCAACCAAATTTAACTGCAGCCCATTCAACATTCAGTCGTTCAAGTAATATGGATCCTTTAGTGAACTTACAACATGATCGTATTTGGCATAAACTTTATGATCCACCTGAGGCAGATAAAACAACACACGAAAATGAAGTGCAGGTTTGTTGAATATAGATTCATATAAAAGTAGATCAGTTCTGTAGGATTATAGTAAAATTACTTTTTCTTTTAGATTTAAGTCGAAATAGTTTATCTATTTTTTATTTCTTTTCCTAAAGCATTTGAATACTCAGATTAGATGATAAAAATATTTTTTCTATTGTATTATTTGTTCTTATGATGTTAACATAAGTTTGAAATAATGCCATCAATGATTTTAATATTTTATTTCTGATTTCATGCTCTCTTTTCTTTTTCTTTAGAATTCATTTTTTTCTAAATTGGGAATCCTATTGCATATGATTTGTCGTGACAACGAATAGAAACATAAATACACATTTTATGTCACTAAGTGAAAATAAGATGTTGAAAGAAAAAGAAAAACTATGGTAGTGAAGGTGAAGCCACACTACCACAGCTTTCTTTCTTTCTTTTTATATTCTGTACCAAATAATCGCCAATTTTCTTTTTCTTTCACTTTATTACTCGTTTGTCGATATTAAAAAGAAAAAAACGAGAGTCACTATAATATGATAAAAGCTGGAAAAACAAAAGAAGAAGAATCGTTTCGTAGCAAGTTTCTGTTATGCCAATATTGTATGATTGAAAGAAAGAAAGAAAAAAGAAAAAGAAGAACGAGCAATTATGTAAACGAAAGAACCTTTTTTCTTCTTTTCTGCTTTTTCACACTAGTCTCAGACGTGTTTGAAAAAAAGTGCAAAGAAATCGAATACTTGTAGGTATGTTGAAACAAAGAAAAATGAAAGTCAAACTTGTAGTAGTGATATCACTTATCAAATATTCATATACACATAAAGCACTCACTAAGGCTGCACCATGCTCTTCAGCGAAGATAGACGAAGTTTCTTTGATCACGTAGGATATTCTATTAGAAATCTTTTTTTTTAATTATATTAATTTTTAATTTAAATTTTTAAAGAAAATGGCTCGTCGACAAGATCGTAAAGTGATTAAAATAGAAGCAGCTTATGGTTCCGATCGGCAAACATTTGTTGTTAAACGTAATTATGATTTACGTGTGCGTGATGTTCAAGAAGAGGCATCGAAAGTATTTAAAATGCCTCTGGATCAAATAATTCTTTATTGGAAGGTAAATCAAATTTTTATAATTTAATAAATAGTTTAATTGGTCTTTTTTTTCTATTGATTTTATTTTAGGGACGAAATATTTGTGATACACCTAATGAACTTTTAGAAGCATTAGGAATTGAAAATAACCATCAAATGCGTGTTTGTCGAGCAGATGATCAAGCACAACAAAATAGACGACGAGAAACACGTTCTTTTGCAACATCTGATCAGCAATATTCATCATCAAATGATCTTTTTCAACAACAACAACAGCAACAACAACAACAATTTTATCCTCAATATCAACAACAGCAGCAACAGCCCTATCCGAATTATCCTCCAATGTATGATCAACAGCAACAACAATTTGGCGCTAATCCACGGTAAGATATTAAAATTCAAGGTTTTCTTTTTTTTTTCTATTGAAAAAAGTGCACAGGAAGTACAGTTTTTCTTGTCTAATAAAAAAGTCTAACAGAAAAGACACTTTCAAGAAACATATATTAACAAAAGAAAATGACAACAACATATTTTCTTTCACTAAACTTAGTTTCTATTGTCATAGTACATGCGTTCATGGACATTATAACAATTATAATTGTTGTTGTCATCATGGATCGTAAGTGTTAAGTAATTTTTCTATCAAATGAATTATACTGATGGATTTTTTCCCTTCCCTTACATCCTTTTGCTTTAGGCATTTTTATTATCGTCCAGAATAAGATATTATATGTCTTTTATTTTTCTTCTTATTTTTTTTTTCGAAAAATAAATAAATCTTAACCCTGAATTGACCTGCTATTTGCTTTCTACTAACCAGCCTTTATTTAGTGCTAACTATTACCAACAATTGACAAATCCAAATGTAGCAACTCCTGTTGCTCCTACATTTGTTCTTAATTTACAAATTGGTATTGGTGATCGAGTTGAAGGTCTGGCCATTGGTCGACCACATCCAATAACAGTTTATGATTTACAATTTGAATTACAACAACGTTTTAATACACCAATTCTTGATCAAAATGTTACGTTTAATGGAATGCCTTTAACACAATATCCACCTGATGCTCCACTTGATTCACTTGGAGTTGTTAATAATTCATTTATTGCACTTTGGTATAGAGGTCCAGGATCCAATAATCAACAACAACAACAACAACAACAACAACAGCAACAACCACCACCACCACCAAATGAATATTATTCAGCAAGACAGCAACCACCACCATCATTTTATGGTGATGGATCTCAGTCAACACGTGGCAGTGGAGGTCAAAATGATTTATCGCCAGGGTAAGTAGAAAATTACTGTCATAGGCAGGGTGTGAGTGAATGAGCGTTAACGATTAGTAGAAAATCTTATCTATTACTTTTTTAATTTAAAAGACGTATGGACAATACTAACAGCAGCAATGATTCGATGCAGAATAGTAGCAATCAGGACGTACTTAAAATTGAAGTATTTCATGGTATACATTTTTATTTTCTAATTTAAAAAAAGTAAACTTTTATCAAATATATGTTCATTTTATTGAAGGCTCCGATCGACATGTGCTTATTTTACGTAGTTCAAATAATCTACGTATTACGGATTTAATGGAAGAATTAGAACGTATAACAACTGTTCCTGTTCAACGTCAAAAACTCTATTTTCGTGGACGAGAATTACAACAAATGAAAGATCGTACATTACGTGATGCTGGCATTGATAATAATGCTCAAGTGAGATTAATTGGTGATCCAACTAAAACACGATATGAACCAATGATAACAGCAAATCGAACAAATTAAATCAAATCATATCACCTATAGACAATTCTAACTGAACAGATCATATTTTCTCTATTTCTATATCAGCCTATTTGCTCTTGCTCTTGTTATCCATCCATTTTTATACCCGAATAAAATAAACTTTGTAAATAACTATGTGCAGAAAACAAAATACCAGAATAAACAAAAAGGAAAAAAAGAAGTTTTATTTTGTTACATGTATTTTACTTTTGAAACAAAATCATTAGAACAAATTTAATATGGCGCGATCATTTTTATTGGCTCATTATTCGATTCAATTTCTATTCTTTTTCATGATATAAAACATGACTTCATTCAATAACAACAATTCTATTATTGATACAACATTGTCTCATTATATTAAATTACAAATTCAATATGGTTCTGATCTTTACGAACTTTTATTATCAAGAAAAGACAATAAAATTCGAGTTGAACATGTATTAGATGAAATTGAAAAACTTACTAAAGTACCAAAATGTCATCAAACTATTATGTATAAAGGTCAACGTTTAGACCATAAACCACAAGCAAATCTTGATGATCTTTACATATTTAACAATAGTAAATTAATCTTAAGTGGAACACAAAAACAATTTCATGATAAATACTGTTGTCCTAATCATGATCATAATGTGACAAATACTTCATTACCAAAACTTATTTCATCACAAAAACAAAATAATACAACTAATATAAATGAAGAAAAATTACAAATAACGATAAAATCGAACAATGATATAGATGATAGCTCAGTGATTAAGACACAAACACCATTGGTATTTAAAAAAAAACAAGAAATAAATTCAAATCTAACTGGTTTTGTGCCTGAAGCAAATAAGACTTACGAGTAAGAGATTTCAAACAAATAAAATATCACAGTGTATTTTAAAGGCTGTCTGGAAAGTTAATGTAAATATCTTTTATGCAAATCAAGCGATTTTGTTTTATTAAAGAACAAATTTCAGTCATTCGTAGTTGCAAAAAGAATACTGTAAGTCAAGTTTGACAAAGACATACAAAGTGAAGATTACATTAACGTTACATTTCAACTTTATTATGAAACCGGTACAGTGGGAGACTGAGAATGTTTTGAAAGACCGTCAAAAATTATACAAGACAAAGTCGACGAAGTTCAGGATGTTTGTAAGAATAAATCACAATCAAGTGTTTGAGCTGTCGCAGTAACCTGTTTTATTCGACGAATAAATTTCACCTTGTATGATGTCAATAAAAGATATTCAGTCATAATGTTGTGCGCAGTTGTTCGTGGAATGTAGCAGGATACTGCGGCAGTTCGAATGCTTGAGTGTGGTTCATTTTTACAAACATTATGAACTTCATCGAGTTTTTCTTTTGTAATTTTTGTTGATCTTCTTTCCACTGTATCAGTTTCATAATAGAGTTGAAACGTAACTTTCATGCAATCTTCACTTGATGTGTTTTTATCCGACTTGACTTGCAGTTTTTGTTTCACAATCATAGATGACTTGAAGGAAGCAGCACTTTTTCTATGTGTTATAATCCCTCGTTAGTTTCTCTTTTTACCTAACTATTGTTTTTTTTTGGTTGTGCCAATAAGTGATAACATAGCTAGATATCGAACATTTTCTGTTTTAGTAAAAAAAAATCATGTTTACAACGGAATCATTTCCATGTAAAATATTAAAAAAAAACGGTTAGTCTGTCTAACTCGTGACGATCGAAAATTGGTTTTTATTGAAAACAAAAATGATTTTCGGAATCAACATACAAAAAGACACTGGAGACTGCAGTTTATTGGAAAAACTTATTTTTTTTTTACCAATACTGAAAAGTCCAAGATTGGGATCAGAAGTTCTGATATCATAACACCATTCACGATAAAAAAAATAATGAAACAGAAAAAAATACAATTTTCTTTAATCATGTTTTGTGAATTCTTGATTATCGTATAAACTTTTTCTCTTCAGAAGTTCGAATCATAGTTAAAGGTATCATCATTTTGTTTTTTATTTTGATAAACTGTATAAAACTAGATTGATGATAAAAACTTCACTTTTTAACAATAAATCATTGTGAAATTATAATAAAGTAATTCTTTAAGATAATTTTGTTTTTATTTTTTAGCGAATCTTTAGATGTATATGCAGTAAAGATTTAATCATTATTCATGCAATTATAGATGAGATATAAATCATAATACAATTGAATGAGTTAATATTCGTTGAAAGTGATTCTCCTTCTAAAGTATTGATTTTCTTACTATAATTAATAATGTTCAAGTTCTGGTTTAGTGACCTCATATCTTCAAGGACAATCATAACAACAAAAAAAAGTTAAAATAAAAAAAATCAGCAGAAGGGAAGAGAAATAAGTGCTACATTCTTTGACTATCTATTAATAAAACTATTATTATTCCAATCTTCATAGGACTAGAAATTTATACAGGATAAAATTATAAAGAACATACTAATATATTATTAAAAATTCATTTAAATCGCTTGAACTCTATAAGAGATTTTCATATTAACTTTCCCAACGGACTTTTGTGACGCAATTATATGATGATTCAAACATTGATTTCTTAAAGGTATTACACAGTTCCATACAAAACTGACCCAACAACACTTTTACAAAATATTCCATCATCAACATCGAATGTACATTGATGATAATGATTGTTTTAAACTCTTACCTGTTTTTTTGCGTAGTACAGATGAACGAGGTTTTTGATTATTACGCATATAATTCCATAAATATTCAACTATAATATCAAATGAAAAAATAATAAGAAATGATAGAAAAAAAATGAAAAATACCATTATTAATAGTTTTAATACAATCATTACATGCTCGATCTTCTTTACTATCACCATGAATTAATTTAACTTTTTGCCAACAACATGTTGAACAAAAAACTTTTCCACATGCACGACAATGATGACGACGACGAGTTATTGAAAATTTAGCTGAACATTTCATGCATACAGGTGCTTGATCATCGTTAACCCATTCGGGTGCAACTGAACCAAGTGTTTTCTCTTCTTCAGTTAATTTAGCCCATTCTTGTTCAACACGTATCAACTCTTCATCGACAGGTACTGTTGAAGTTGCGGCTGCAGCTGCTACCGGTTGGGATGTATATGAAAGCAAAGATTCAGTTGGTGGTGATGATGGTCGTTCTAAAGAAGAAGAAGGAGCAGGAGGAGGAGGAGGAGATGGAGGTGGACAAGGTTCAATTTCGTTAATTATTGACGATGGTGACATTTCTTCTGTTTGATGTGCATTAACAATTTCTTTGAGTAAATTATCAACTCGATCAATTTCAGCTGGAGTTAATTGATGAATATCAACATCTGGTCCATCGATACTTGCAAGCATTTCATCAAGAAAACGAAAATCTTCATCATTACTTGTCGTCATTGATGCTGATTGTTGAGATATTTCTTGTTGTTCAATATTAACTAATTCAGATTCTTTTTCTTCAATTGGATTTTCATCAAGTATTTCTTCATCATTTTTATCAAAAATTTCTGATAGAATATTTTTAACAAGATCAAAATCTTGCGTAGGTACAGCCGTTGTTAATTTGGTCATTGGAGAAGAAGATAATGAAGATATTTCAGTATCCACTATAGGTTCTTCAGATGGTGATTGAATAGATTTTTCATCACTATCATTACATGCAGTGAAGACATCTTCAGAAGATGATTGAAGTGCTGCCGTTTCATTCATTGATGGATCAGAAGTGATAAAATCCTAATGAGAAAAATATTGATTAAGATAATTTAGGTGAAAACACAAAAAAACAAGATTCTTACGTCAAGATTAGTTCCCATTGGTGCATTGACAATACTATCAACACTATGTAAAACTCCTGATATCTTTGATGGTGGCGTTTCATGTTGAATAAGGTCAGGTTCAGTTTGATATGTTAAATTACTTGATGTTTGTGTAGTTTCAATTACTGGTAAAGGTGATGAAGCTTCTTCTTCTTCTTCTTCTTCTTCTTCTTCTTCTTCTTCTTCTTCTTCACTCGAACTTGTTGATGTTGAAAATAAAGCTGTTTCTTTGTTATCATCATGATGACTATTTGCAACAGTTGTTAAATCAGGTGATGATGGTTGATCAAGAGTATGTTGTAAAATTTCTTGTCGTACTTCCAATTCAAGTTGTTCAACAGCAAATGGTAATGATGTTGATAAAGAGTCTTCTTGTTGAACAATAACATCAGGTAAAGCAGGTATATATATTGATGGTGTATCGACCACAATTGATGATGCATATAATTCTTGAAGATCTTTTTTAAGACGTTCAATTTTATCATCATTTTCTTGATTATTATCATTGTTATTATGATTGTCTGGATTTCCAAGAGGATCAAGTTCGAGTAAAAGTAATTCATCAACTGATTTCTTAGAAGTTGAAGGTGATGAAGATGTTTGACTAAGTGTATTTGATTCTTTCTCTTCATGATCCGATTGATTGACTGTAGTAAGAAAAAAAGAAAAGAGATTGAATACAAAAATGGAATAAAAATACAACTTACGCGTCTTTTCCAATTGATCAAGAACAGCATCAATATCGAAATCCATCTCAATAAAGAGATGAGAAATATATTTAAAATAATCTTAAAAATCAAATCAATAAAATTTATTTCAAATGCAAACTATAATTATTAAAAAAGTGTTTTTTTTTAATAATACTCCTTATTAAAATCATGCAAATCTAATTTTCACTTTTTTAGTGTTTTGATCAATCATGTCGAATGAAATTTGTCATAATTGTATATGAATCTAAATCTTTTAAATTAGTTCAATATCTTTTATATCAATATATCTGTCTTTATTTTTATTAATTTTTTCAAATAATTAATTGGTTTGTTGAATATTTATTAAGGAAGATTCCAGGTTCAATTGGATTTCTTCTTCATCTTTCCGATGAAAATTAGATGGCCGTAGTTCAATAGATAGTAAGTAGATTAGAATTTGTTTCAGTAATTAAAATTTTACCTACTAATGGAAGAAAGCCAATGTTTTTTTTCTCACGAAGGTTTTCAAAATGCATTAATATTATTATTCATCAATCTGTTTGAGTTCACTATTCTGAAGCAAATAATCTGCAAATATGAATTTTACAATTAAAATTAAAGAATTCTAAGAAAAAAAAAATTACAGACAAACAAAAGAATTATTTCATCTGCTGACATTTATAGCAATGAATATCGAATGGTTCCATAGAGTAAACCAAAAAAACGTGTACCAAAGTCCGCCACTATCAACGCGACCTTAAACGGATTAAATCGACAATGGACTTTGGCTCACACTTTTTGGTTCATTTCATTAGATTATTCCGTCTAAAATGAAACCTAATACAGTGCATTATATTAAACAAAATCGAAGATAAGAAAATGCCAACGACAAGCAAAAAAAACAGCGTTGTATGAATGAATGAGTCATATTCCGTTGTATCAGCTGTGAACCTTGCGCCTACCGAATGATTATAGGAGAGCTTAGATTTTTGCTGACATTTAATTTTTAGAATTTTTTTTACTTCAATACTAAGATTTTTTTACTAAAGTTAAACTCTAAATGGTGGTATTTGCTTTTTTTTCTAATCGGTTAATGTTTTCAACCAATCGGACACTTACATTAATAATGTTAGGTGTTTTTTTAATAATATTAAAAGTAATAACAATACAATTATCTTTTGCGTTCCTTTATTTTAAACCAAATTTATTAAAAGAAAACGATCAAATAGCATAATAAACAAATTGATTATTGTGTATACTTTATGATGATTATGATTTCTATGTTATTCTTATTTCAGGTGAACGTTTGAGCAAAATTGTTGCAGAATTTAATAGTTGAGAAATCACACAAAAAATTAAAATGGAACGACGACATGTCGTCGATATTGATTAGATCACTTACATAAAATACAGCTGGTGCAACATTATGTATGAGTGAGAACATATACTTGAGCTGAAGTAGGTTTTTCTTTATTTATAAATATTAATCGACTTGAAATTTTCTGGAATTCAATGTAAATGAAAAATGACAATCTATAGTATATTTATCGATAAAATTAAAAAACTGACTTTTGCATTTTTTCTTAATTAAATCTATTTTAGATTTAGTGAATTATGATGAATAAATACTTATTATTTAAAAATGTGATCAATAGTACGTGATCTGGTGAAAAAAAGCATAGCTGGAATTGCCAATCAATGTCGAAATATTTTCCACCAATGCACTTTGGTGAGACTGATTTTTAAGAGNATGAAGAAAGATAACATGAGTCATGTGCGATGGTTTGCAAAGTCGAACCATTTTGGTATGCGAGCAGAATGCATAGACCATCGACGAACAAGTAGTTTTGAGAAGTGTACAGCAGAACAGAATTATTTAAAACTTGGTGCCGTAGGGGGGAAGGCTCGAACATGATACCGATTCTCGAGAAACGAACATATTGCCACTCCGCCAATCCCCCCAAATCGTTGTTTCTTTTCTACTTGTCAATTGAAAAGTTTCTTTGAATGAATACTATTTGTTCTCCCACAAGCTCCAAAATTATCTATTTGAGAGATGACACTCATAGAGATAACCGACACGTACGCATATATATATTTCAGAAATATAGAGGTCATCCAAGAAAAATTCAGATACATGAATAGAAAAAAAGCTAGGCGTGATGAAAAATTTATCTAGTGAAAATACTTTGTATGTTAATGTACATCTTTAGCTAGAAATATGACGTTGTTTTCTTGAAAAATCATTTTTCTATCCGTTTATTCATATTGATTATTTTTTCATAAATGCATCATTCTATCGTATATTTCTTAGGAACTTCTTTACTAAAATTTTTAAAGATTTCGAGAAAGATATATTGTAGTTAATATCACAAGAAGTCGAAGTATAGTTTATACACTCGCGTGTAGCGACGGCACCTCACAAGACAGATGGAGGCTGAGCTCCCCTAAATTGCTTAATCCTCCTTCTTCTCGGAAGATTTTACAAGTTATTGCTATCGATGGTGCCAAAGAAAGACTGAGAAGGTTCAGTTGCCTTGGCTGAAAATCCTAGCAGCCGTGCTACTCAAGTGGTTCATTACTATCTAAAATAAAGTTACATATAAATCAATGGAAGAAACATTTCACTGTCGACTATACGTCGACTTCTGTAATACTGACTACGATATATCTTTCTAGATATCTTTCGAATTTTCCATAAAGAAGTTCCTAAGAAACGTGCAATCTTCTGCTATAAATATGATGAAATAATTAATATAAATAAACGAATAGAAAAAGATTCTTGTAGAGAAAAAAATGCATTTTTATAACACTATAACGTATCGTATAGGCTGTGTTTTTGAACGATTTGTTTTCGTTTTTAGCGAAAAAAGGTATTCCAACGCATTTAAATAGATACATTTAGAGTCTAGAAAACACACATGAGTCAATGAAAAACCGTTCAAATTTTGTTTTCTTTTGCGAATTGTTTTTTCATAGATAGAATGGATAGAAAAAAGGATAGCTATTTGTTACTGAATGATTAGTCAAAAGTTCTTATCACCGTTAAGAATAATAATATATGTAGAGGTCCCGTAAATAAAGTGCGAGAACTAGATTCTACTTTTTCTTGTGTTGATTTTCTATTTACTTTTCTGAGGTGCAGAGTTTCATTCGTTATCGAATAATAACCTAATCAATAGGGTTCATCGAGTCAAAATAGGCAATCAGGCTGCAAATACTGGGTTTCTGACTCTGTTTTTTACAGTAAATTTTGTTCCCATTTAGTCTACGACTTGTGTTGACTCTTTGTATAGTAATGTGAGACGCAAAATTTCGCTATCTTGGGAATGCTGCTATATTTTTTTTTAGGAATCATTAAGCAAAAATCTAAATATTTGCTACAAATACTTTCCGTAATCGGGGCTTTTGGAGATTTATAGTAAAAACTACTATTGACTGATATTTAATGCTGTGTCGATACATTGTACTATTACTAGTATTGGAATTTGTGTCATGCGCTTTTTCTTTTGAGCGTCAGTAGTTCGGACAAAACAAGCCGAATTTCAATGATAAAGTGAAGTTTGTTAATATAAGGGAACTAATATTTTCTTATACGAATTTTTCTATTGTTTAGTGTGCACCTTTCACTATCACCCATCTGGCTTTCTTTTCTTTCTCTGGATGTTCTCTCAATTCTCACCAAATTTTCGTTTTCAAGACGATATGAGAGTATGGTTGTGGGTGTTGATGTGGCTACGTACGTGAATATCAATGAATACCCTAATCCATATCCATACTCAGCCGCTCCACCTACATCCACACGCACAGTCATACCTCTCATTCACATTCTCATCCACACTCAAAACAATAAACTCTATTCCTAGAACCGTAAAATAAACTGTCCTTGAGAATAGAATAATAAACTTTTCTCGGTGAATTCTAAAACACTAAACTGTTTTATAGGTATCATAAACTCTTTTCATTTTCATTCTCCCGTGCTTTTATAAACTCTTCGATTTATAAAACATTAAAAATTCTACAGCGTGGTTGTTAAATGCCTTCTATTATAATATTTAAAGTACATTCTAGAACTTCATCTTTGCCGTAAATTTCTCAGATATGCTAATCAGAAAAGAAAATTCAGGATCTTTTGAATATTATTTGAAAAATAAATGCAAACAGAGTTCGAGAATTTTCAATTGGTGACAAAAACAAAACAAAACACGTCTATGTCATCTTTTTTTCACAAAAATTACTAATGCACAAATGATTGAAATTACCATTGATATCCAGTACATAAGAACTACTGCATCAATCGACTGTTGAACGTATGATATGCAGTATGTGCCACTATCACTAGAGTTAGTACTTTGGCGTAATGTTGCAGCCTTATTTACTGAAGTCAATGTGCCACCGTACATATACCATGGAACAAAGAAAGCGTAAAAGATACAGCCACCTATCAAACTGATAATTGTCAATGTATTGCCTGATTTGTCTTTTAAATGAAGAATACCAGCAATCAAAAACAAAGGTGATGCTATGATACCAAGAACACCAGACACGATATTAAAGGTCGGCATCATTCGATTGGCCGGACATTGATCGATGCATATGCCACCAACAATGACTTGAGCCAACGAGATTGGCAAGCCGCATAAACTAATCACAGTGAGAACTGTACCAATTATAGTAGTTCTTTTATCGGCCATTTTGATGATCGACTAATAGAGAACGCTTTAATGCAGTCGAACAATCGAATAGTTTATTGTCTGCTTCAAATTTTGAAGCGTGTTGAAATATCGAATATATATTAGTAGGTATTAATTATGCAATGTTACTTCCTTGGTAATCTGAATATTTGATGAGTCAAACAATCATGGTTTGTGTATCGTGATAAGTTTCTGTTGATGCTGTTGCGATGGAAAGTAAAAGAAAAAAAAATTCTGTCGTTGAAAGAAGAACAAGTAGTTACGATCGTGCGCAGATGTTGTTCCTGTATTTAATAAACTGTGAGTGTCAGAAGAAGTCTTTTGGTAATTCTATTTTATTGTTTGTTTCTTTCTAAAGTGGAAATGTCGAAATATCTTTACAAAATATTCACAATGAGATCGATACTATTGTTAATAAACCCCAATATGAAAAAAAAACACAAAATGATTGATCTTTCTTTACGCATCTTAGGTAACCATAATGTGCGCAAGGCAACGAAAACACTGAAGGCAAAAAAATCAAAAGAGAATGTGAACCGGCAAGAGAATGAAACAAAAAGAAGTCGAAAGTGCGTATAATGTATTCTGTACACAACATCACGTCATGAAAAGCCTCTTCTTCTCAAGCTGTCTATTAGACTCTGTTATGGAGCTCGAAAGTACATATAGCAAAAATGAATTATATCTGTTAAACTTGAAGGCTGAATTGAGTAAATAGAATATTTGAATATCAGATATTCAACTATTCAGACCAATCATTTATATTTTCACAAAAATACACGCAAAGTAACTGTCGCTGAGATTGGGTGTGGGTGTACACACACAGCATCTTTCTTACTAATGATTCATACTACTTCTTAATTGATTATAAATAGTTGAGTATTAATTAACTCATTGGCTATTAAACAATAAAGTAATGCTATCAGCTGAAGGGTCACAATCGATAAAGTTCTATTACTGTTAGTCATAAAAAATGAACTGAAATTGATTGTTAAACTATCAAGAGGAAAAGTGAAGTTAAAATTTTGAGTTTACACAGGTTCGAATTCACTTGACAACTTATTATATTATTATATAGTAGTTGTTTTTCCTTTTAATTTGTTATAAAGCATAATTAAGTAAATTTATAATAACATTCAAGTTATTTATCTAAGAAGAATAACTACTCGTAGTTTCTTGATAGGTTTCTATTGTAATCATATATTCTTGTCCTTGCCATCTAAATATAGTAGCGTAACCAAAATAAAATACTTCACGTTTACCTGTTTGAAAAACAATCATATAAAGCTGATGAAGCAGATTACATTTCAGCACATCTTCATCAACGGCTTGACCTTATTTTTGGTTATAAACAAAATGGACAAGCAACTATTGATGTTGTTAACCTATTTATGTATTATTCTTATGAAAAAGTTATTGATGTTAATACTACTGATGATTCAGTAACACGTGAAGCCATTGATGGTATGACACAAAATTTTGGACGTGTTCCATATCAACTACTAACTGAACCACATCCACAACGGCAATCACGTGAACAAGCAACATTTCAAATTGACATGCAAGGACGTTCATTAAATATATTTCAAGATTTACGTTATATGAATGTATATTTCGTTGAAATAGCATCTGCAAATTATAAACACTTATTATCATTGATACCAATGGTATTGATGGAAATTTTTGATTAGTTGATTCCATTGTCTGTTGTATTGTCTAAAAGAAAATTTTCTATTTGGAATAAAATAGGTTGGCTTTCATATGATAAATCATCAAATAATCTTTTTACATTTGAACGAGATGCAACATTACAATTTGAAAAGTAATTATTCATTTAAGTAATTATTTTCAAATGTTTTCTTTTTATTTTCTTAGAAATCGACTTACTATTGCTGCATCACTTTCATCTTCAATCAATATCACTTCACATCTTTTTGCACTTTCTCATGATGGTAAATTTATTTTCAGTGGTGGTCATTGGGATTGGTCTCTATGTATTTATTCTTTGGCTAAATCAAAAACAATTAGTTCAATTATTTATCATACTGATATAATAACATGTTTAGCATTAGATTCAACAGGATATATTCTTGTTACTGGTTCACAAGATAGAACTTGTGTTATTTGGTATTTATCATTAAATGATAATCGACACATTATAAATATTAATGATCAAGATCCAACATTAATTATTACACCAGAAATGGTACTCTATGGGCATACAGTTGAAATAACATGTGTTTGTGTTTCATCTGAACTTGATCATGTTGTTTCGGCTTTATTATATGGTACTTGTAGTATTTATACCAATGAGCATGGAATTTATGTACGTACATTACGATCAACTGATGCTAGTAATAGTCTGATCGTTAATTTAAAATTATCTAATGAACGACTTATTCTTGTACAAACAAAAAATAAAGATACAAACGTCAAAAAATATCATAGTCTCAGAAGTCTTACACGAAATTGTACTTTAAGATTCTTGAAAGATCTTATCGTTATATAAAATTTTCTATAACCTTATAGTGATATCTTACGCGACATCACGATCTTTCAAGAATCTTATAATACAATTCAACGTAAGGTGTCTATGACGACGAATTTTTGTAAGATTTTTGTCTGATCTGATAATAAGATCAGTGATATGATCTTATGAGATCTTATCGTCGGATTGTTTGATCAGGGTAAATACTGGTATTCGCCCAGCTCTGATTTGAATATCATGTTATTGATATGCTTTTATGTGATCAATATATTATACTTGCTGTTAATCATAAGTCAACTTCAAAATGAAAAAGAAAATCAACATCTTCAGTTGCTACAAGAATTATTAGTAAAGATATGTTTAAGTAAGGATTTTTTTATATAGTAAATTAAATTTTTATAGTTTGATTATTATTATGATTATTATTATTATTATTAAAGAATACCTAGAATTCAAATCATTCGCCTTCGAATACAAATCAATTTTTTTTAATTTAAAAAAAGATTTAAAAGTCGTTTACTTGTTTCTGTTAAAGGTGGAAAATAATTTGTGTTAACAACTGAAAAAAGTAATACTAAAAAAATCTATTAAAAAATAAAAGAGAAATTTATTTTTTTTTATTGCTGTGAAAGAAAAAAAATATTAGTTTTTATAAATGGCTATTATTATTGTTTTTTTTAATATCATATGCCAGATTCAATAATGTTTTATTTTGTCCTTGAAAATTCTTTCTTTACTTTCTAACTGAAGCACATTCTCTTTTTTTATTCTTTTTGTTTCCATTCATCTTCTTTTTCTTGACCTTGACTCGATTGGTTTGTTTATTATTAATGTATTTTTTGTGCTGATTTTTTGTGATAGCTATAATTGTTTTCTTTGATTTTATAACTGATTTATTAATATAATTCTTTTAATTGTTATTTTAGTCATTATATATTTGTGCACCTTTTTTAATATGAATATTAGTTCGAAAAGGAATGAACTATAAAGAAATATACTTATATTTTCTGTTTAGAATATAGATTAAAAAAAGACGTCAATAGTGAAAATTAAAATTTCTATTTAGATGTGTTCATTCAACACTCAATTAACGATAGTTAAAAAATATGCTTACAGAAGAATTTGTTTTACCTAAGAATTATACCTTTTGAGATAAATAATACTATCATGATAGAAGTCAATATTTTATTTTTTCTTGATTGTTCTACAAAATTATAGATTCTCAGAGTGTCGTACTTTCTTCTGTTTCTCTTGTATTGATGATCAACTCATCATTTGTGTTTGATATAGTTAATTGTCGTGTGTTTTTATCAAGTTCTTGTTGAGGATGTCGATCGAAACGAAGAGCCATAATAATTACCGATGTCAAAGACATCGATATAGATAAAAAGAGAATACCAAGAAAAAATGATCCAGTACGATCTTTGAAGACACCTAAAAGAATAGGTCCAACACCACCACCAAGATTACCAACTGAATTAATGAGACCAATAGAACCAGCAGCGGCTGATTCACTTAAAAATAAACTTGGTAATGACCAAAATGCAGGTAGATAAGCTTTAGTACCAATGGAAGTTACTGTAAAAAGAATAATCATTGTGAAGAGTGGTTGCTGTCGAATCAATGTTAAACCAAGTCCTATTGCACCAATAAGAATAGGTATAGCAGCATGAAAACGTCGTTCTTTAGTTCTATCTGAACTAAATCCAATTACTAACATTCCAATAAGAGCACCAAATGGTGGAATCATTAATAACCATGTAAGAAGACTATCACTTGGATGATACCAATCGCGAAGAATAGTTGGTAAGAAAAGTTCCACACCATAATTACCTGTTACAATAAAAAAATAAGCAATAGCAAGAAGAAGTACTTTAATATGACGTAAAGCTTGTAGTAATGTTAAATGACCACCAGCAACTTGTCGATGTGCTAATTCAAGTGATAATTCTGTTTCCAGTACTCGGCATTCTTCCTCACTCAACCAATTCGCATCTTTCGGTCGATCAGTCAAAAAAAATAAAACAACAATACCGAGTATCACGGATGGTATACCCCAAACGATATACATCCATTGCCAACCTTTAAGTTTAAATAATGTTCTATAGTAGATACCATTTTCGATAGTATCCATACGAAGAATATAATAAGATATTTTCGGACTGATGAACTGAGCAATTGGTGTAGCAATAAGAAATAGAGAAAGTGCTCGAGCTCTTGCTTGTGCTGGAAACCAATGAGTTAAATAGACGATAACACCTGGAAAGAAGCCAGCTTCGGCAAGACCAAGAAAAAAACGAACTAAATAAAAATGCCATGGTTGCGTAACGATTGCTGTTAATGATGCTAAAATACCCCAAGTAATCATGATACGACATATCCATTTACGCGCACTCCATTTTTCAACTAATAATGTACCAGGAATTTCGAGAAGTAAATAGCCAATAAAAAAAGCTACCTGACCGAGAGCAAATATAGTTTCTGTTCGATGTTTAAATGAAGGTAAATCATTGATCATTTTAAGTTTAGCCAATGAAACATTATTTCTATCAACATAAGCAATGATATATGATAGAAATAGAAGTGGTAATAAACGCCAGTAAGCTTTAATTATGACAGAATGAAGTATAGACGACATTGAAGGAGAGGCTTTCATCGAGTCAAAATCATCACAATAACAAATTGAAAAAACTAATCACAACATTGTATTTTATCACTTTCATTGAAAAGGTTATCTTCTAATGAAGAAAAACAACACCTTTGCGTATGTAAATCACTCAATGCAGTTATAATCTATTTGATTTAATCCCGTTGATACCATTCAGTTTTGTTTTTTCGTTAAGAAATATGTAAAAAGTAATCATTTCATATCAGCAAGGAAATATCTGCTCGTATCGAATCTTAATATGATATAATTCAAAAAGATGCTGTATACTCATCAAATGTGATTTCATTTCATATATCTGAGGCACTAAAAAGTTTCAAGGTGCTTTGCATATACTATTAAACGAGTCAAATTTGAATCCGAAAGTAACTTCTACTGTTGAAATTTGATTTACAACAAATTACTTATATAAAATTAATAAAATTTTTGAGATTGCTTATATATTGAGAAGAATCATCTATTGGAACATTGACAATCATAAATTACAATATTTCACAGCGACTTAGGTTGAGAATTAATGTGAATACACCAAAAACAAAAACAAAAACAAAAATAAAAATCATCAGAAGAGTTACCCAGTAATGAGATTATAAGAATATAGATAAGATCATAAAAAAACAAAGCTCCCTTGCGATGAATGAAACAAAAAATAAACAAATAAAAAAAAACAAGCTCAGTAAAATATATCGAAGAAATAAACGATGAAAAGTAAAGCTCGGATTTCTTGATCTGATAATATAAGCTCGAATATATTGATTTATTTAATATGCTTAATAAAACGAGCAATTCGCTGTTGATTTTCCAGCAATTGCTCTGCTTTATTTGTTGATGGAACACTTCCATTGCGACGTTGTTGTTGTTGTTGTTGTGGTGGTGGTGGATAAATAGGTGGCAAAGTTTTATGACGATATGGTACACTGTGAGATGATGACATTGGTCGTGCCATCAAATCAGCAGCATCACCAGGTAAACTATTATCACGTGTTGATGGTTCAGATTGAACGAAGGAAGAATTTTGGTTATGAGCTATAGATGAATATGGTTGATTTTGTGAATGAGAAAATAGAGAAGGACCAGAGACACGTCGTTCTATTTCTTCAAAAGCTACAGGTGGAGAATGAAGAGATCGACCTGTCTTCCCATTCAGAACACCTAGATAAAAAATAATAACAAGTTAAACTAGATTTTCTCGTTCATACATACCATTTTTTTTCATTGCTAATAATTGTTGACGTGCTTCAATAAGTGCATCTTTCAATTGTTCACGTTCTGTACATTCTTTATGTACAGTTTCTTGTAAAGTTATCATCTAAATTATGAAACAGAAAATGAAAGTTCATTCTTCAATAAATGAATGCATTACTTCTTCTCGTGCTTGTTCTAATTCTTTTTTCAATTCATTTATAGTTGATTGTGCTTGAAAAAGATTTGTTTCTTTTGCTAACAAATCTTCTTTTAACTGCAAATTATTTATTCGATCGTTATTTATTGCATGTTGATTACCTACAAAAGGATATGCTTGAAAAATCATTCCGGATCATTATTATTTGTTTTTCTCACTAGATTGTTCATGCAATTCTTTTAATACATCTCTCAATGTATCTAATTCTTTTTTTAAATCATTTTTATCTCGTTGAAGTTGTTCAATTTGCTGTTCATAATGTTGCCGTTGTTCAATAGATACTTTTTCAGTTGAAATTAATTCATATCGAAGTTTTTGTGTCGAATGATCACTATCTTGTTCATATTTACGTAAAAGACCACTTGTTTTTTGTTTTTCAATATCTAATTCCTAAACATATTTTAGTCATTTGATTTCAGTCACAAGTGAAAAATTGAACAAAATACGTCTATTGACAGGAAAATTTTCAGAAACTCGAGTTTACTTGTAAAACATTTTTTAAGCTGTCGTATCTTATACATGTGTATGTAATCAATTTCAAGTATTTACAATTGTTGCATATAAATACAAAATAATGGCACATCCATAGACTTGCATATTGCAAACACATGCATAAAAATACAATTTGTTTAAGTTTTTGCGCAAAATATGCGAGACTGAATGACGTTTATCCTTGCAAATAGTTGCGTGCAACACTCTTACATGCTTATGCAAGATACACAGTGGTCCAAAAGACACGGAGCAATTTTTGATTGAGAATAACTTTTGATAGAAACAAGAAAGAGAGCTGCGGCTTTCACGATTGAAAAGAAGAGAATTTGGGGTATCGAATCATATAAGAAACATAATATTCACAATTTTTTAAAAGTTTTTTGACAAACGAAAATTAAACAAACTCTTATATTCAGAATTTAAAGTGTTACGAGAACTTTGAAAGTCTTGTTTTTTTTTGGAAATCTTGTTTTTTTTAAAATTCTTTTCAAAAGCTTTTTCAACCATTATATCTCTTATATGGTTCAATGCCTCTAAGTCTGCTCTTTTCAACAGTAAAAAATGCAGCTCCCTTTCTTGTTTCTATTAAAAGTTATTCACAATCAAAAACTGCCCACGGACTTTTAGGCCATCCCGTATATGACTCGCGTGTTAATAGCAAAGTGTTATTGGTGTGTACGTGCACAATGACTAGAATTGTGCTAAATTCTGCATATCAATGTAGAAAGGTCATATTTGACAAAACTATTACCAAAACAGTTCTGCGTCGGCATACAAATTTTTGCCATTTTGTAGTGTGCATTCTGCTCCATCCAAGAATTTAGTTTTTGTTTTCTCAACGTTTGTTTATTTATCTCTCATTAAAATGAAACCACTCTCATATATCCGCACGATATTAGTTCAAACATCTTATTCAATTTTTCGAATTTACCTACAGTTATTAATATTGATATTCACGCTCGTCTATTAGTTATCCTATGATCATTATATTCTTCAATTTTGATTGCAGTTCTAATGTAAGCAGATCGTCGAATGGTGAAAAAGTTCGTCTTATAAAACGCAGTATGTATCTCGGAATCTTAAATCTGGAAAAAAAAACTTCTGCGTGTTTATCTATGTTTACTATATGCGCTATGTTTTATGGTTATTCTAAAATTGTCTTACATGCACATGTATGAATTCTCTACAAACGCATTCCTACGCATGTGATGTTATAGCGACTAATGTATGTGCACACATTTAATAAGCTTTCGCGTTTGAAGGAGATATTTTTCAAATAATGAAATCTACTAACAATAGCAAAATTTTCTTTAAGTTGACGTTCAAGTTCCATCATTTGTATTCGATTTTGTTCACGATGATGATTTAATTCTGTTTGAAGACGATCAGGCCATTGTTCAGCTTCATGTAACTTAGTCGCATAAGTATCATGAAGTTTTTTAATTTGAATATCATGTGTAATATTAAGTGTTTCTCGTTGTTTAGTTAATTCAATATTTTCATTATGTAAACGTTCAAGTTCACGACGAATTGTATCAGATTCTGCTGCATTAATCGGCAAAGAAAAAGAAAAAAAAGAAGATTTTATTTTGATGAGTTTGAATAGATTAAAATATATTCTTACAAGTATCTTTTTCTCGAATATTAACAAGTTCATGATAAACTTCATCAAGATCATTGTATTTTCGTAATAATTTTTCGTATTCATCTCTTGTACGATCAAGAATAGCTTGTCGTGATCGATTGACTTCGTCCATTTTTCGTCGAGTATTGAATTCATTTGTTTCAAATTCCTTGTTAGCTGTATTCAATTCTTCATAGTCATTTGTTAACTTAACAAGTTTTGATCGAACGTTTTCTAATTCAGAATCTGTTTCTAGAAAAAGACAAGTTTGATTATTGCACAATATGTACTAAAATTAAATAAACAAAAACAAAATTTACTTATTCGAAGTTCTGTTTGATTTGTTAATTGTTGTCGATATTGATCAATAAGAAGATCGACATTTCTTTTTGACTCATCTTTATCTATTATTTGTTGTTCTAATTGTCGACATCTTTGTTTTACTTGTTCTAATTCATTTTGTAATTGTAATCGAATTTGTTCGATTTGTAATACCTGTTGATGTAAACGTGAAAGTTCATTTTGATGAATTTGAATTTCTTTTCGAGCTATATCTAAATCATTCTGTGTTCTATATAAAGATAAATGATTATACATATTAAAAAAATAAGTTTCATACTTAGTATGGGATTCTTTTGATTCAAGTTGTAATTGTTGATATTTAATTTGAAAATCTCGTACAGATTTATTTGTTTCACTAAAGAAATAAGACAAAAAAAGTTTTCTAATTTATTGAATGTGAGTTATTCATACTTGGCTTGTTGTTGATATTTTTCAATTTCTGTTCGATAATTATTCATTCGTTTAGTGTATTTGTCCATGGTTATTTGTATTTCTGTTGAATAAATTTAAAAAAAAAAACAAATAATTAATTTGATTACTTATATATATTCATACCTTTGTGAAGTGTTGTTTCAACGGTTGAAAAATATGTTTTCCAATTTTGAATCTCTTTTAAATAGAGATCTTTTAACAATGAATGTTCTTTTCGCATATTCTGTATTTGACTATATGTTGCTCGTAATTTTGATGAACATTGCGAAAATACCATTCTTTAAATTATACAAAATACAATAACGAAAACCTCATGTGTAGTAACATTAAAGAATGATTTATACTTTGTTTCTCGATGAGCAGTTTTTGATTGTTCTAATTGATCTTGCGCTAATTGATGTTTTCTAATCATTTCATTGAGTCTAAGAAAAGCAAACAAAACAAACAAATTTTCGAGAGACCAATTACATTGTAAGGAAATACTTGTGAGTATTAATTGAGATAGTTGATTCGAGATCAGCTATTCGTGTTCGTTCAGTTTGTAATAATTGTTCTAGAGCAGCTTCACGTGAACTTATACCAGCATAATAAGCTAAATCTGCTTCAAGTTTTTGGCATTTAATCTCGAGTGCTTTTATTTCATTATGAATCAAATAAGAAACACCACAAAATTGACAAACAGTATCTTGACGAGACATGCTTGTTATATCGACCGGTAAAGGAAACTGTGGTGTGTAACGTTCAAAACGTTCTTGCTCTTGCATGTCTGAAATAAGGAAAAAGAAGACAAAAGAACAAGATAGAAATCAATGAGATCTTTAATTTAGATAATAGAATTTAACATGTGGAAGAGCAATCCTTTTTTTCTTATAAATTAAAAGAAAAAATTAAGACATGTCCATTATAAATACAAAACAAATGAAAGATTTCAAAAAGAAGACGATTTCAAATCATAATAGTGCTGATTGTGGTCGTTCGAGATAACGATATGATGGTGGACATTGTGATATTGTTTTACGCATTGCATCACCTTGACCTTTAGCAAAATTTTGAACACCATCAAATTTAACTTTTGGTGGAACTCGAGCAGATTGTGGTAACTTGCCATATTCATTAAAAAGTCTATTAACAAGACGACCTCGTCCCATATCATAATTTAAATGAGCTTGCATACCGCTTACATGTGGTTTAACTGATGGTGGACGATTATTAATGTCATGTTCAAGTAGATGTGAATGACCATAACCTCTTTGTAAATTAACTTCAGCAGCAACACCTTTTACATGTGAAACTGGTTTTGATGACGGCGTGACATGACCATAATTACTTAAAATTTTACCCATATGACCTTCTTGATGTGCATAAAAGAGATTAGTAGCTATCTAACAAAAAAAATGATAATTTAAGTTTTTATTAAAAGATAATTTAGTTAAAAATTTACTTCGCCTTGTGTATGGGGTATTGGTTGTGCAGGTAATGGTAATTTTCCATAGTTTTCTAATAATGTTTTCATTTGTGAATGTTGATTTCTGTCATAATTAGCACGACCTTCATTTTTAACACGACAATGATGATGAGGATTAGGTGGATCAAGATTACCATAAATAAGATTTGGTGTTGAAGTACGACTTCGTATATAATTTCGTGTTGCATCAGGTCCAATTACTTTGGGTGGTGGTACTGGAAAACTATTGCGCTGTTGAACTATTGATTCTATATCTGTTGACGTTGTTATTCTTCTACCTTGAGCCGCCCATTCACTAAAATTTAAAGTACCACGATTTCTAATATAATTTGCAACACCTTCTCTATTAACATGAAACGGTAAAGATTCTTTATCATTTGGTACTGTTGATATTAATGTTGATGGAACAGATGGTAAAATCCAATTAGCCGATTCCGGACTTAAAGTTGTAGTCATTATTTATAAAAAAAACAAAAATTTTTAATGTAATAACAAAAATGTCAAAGTTTAGATCAAAATTTCAATTGATTTTTTTTCTTTTTTCTTGTTCAAGTTACCATTCTGCTATTCTTTGCTTCTGATAGAACATAATAGACATCTTGTATATGTAAGTTGCTAAGCAATGTCCCACATAATTAAACAATTCTAGTTATTTTAATCTATTTTTCTATTAATCAGGATTATAAATATATATTTAAGAATAATTGTATATTTTATAAATAAAATGATTACTTTTGCGACATCTAAATTATAATTGTAGATTGTCAATATTCAAATTTTAGTGTTGTTACTCCCTATTGGCTGCTGTGTACTTGGTAAATATGCATCACTCATTATACACATGTAAATCATTAGTATCATTTTACTTCCAAGATCGAATTGGATGCTAAACTGTACTCAAACAAGCAAATTTTATTCTTATTATTAAGTTTTATTATATTTATGTTCTTGTAATATATATGATTCAGACTTTGTTCTTCGCCATTGAATTACCTTGGACTTAATACATTTTTCATTGCAAGGTGTCTCGGCCAAATGGTGAATACGTGACATAAGTGTGCACATATTTATCAGCAAAGTCACCTTTGAGTTATTTGTTTAGAGAAATTTAAAAAAAAAAGGTACGCAATAAACCATTATCAATGACAAAGAATTATTAAGAGATTCATTTCTTTCTTTTTTGTGTCACATCAGTAAGTCAAGAGTTTCGTTATGTACAAAATTTTGATGTTATTGAGTGTGTTTTTCGCTCGAAGCTCTAGTTGTCTATTCGAAATTTTAAGTGGATAAAAACAATAACGGGTGTGCCCCATAAATAACTGCCCTCTTAGTATTTTTAAGATTTTTTTCTCTATTATCCCTTTCATTAACCTCTTGGATACCGCTGTCTTCAGGTTAAAAACAAGGAGAACGTAAGAATTTTTTTTCGTTCTGTCGTATCGATAAACAGCTGTGAAGCGAAATGTTCAGTAATACGGCTGTATCAATCCTCATTTCATATGCGATAAAATATATACGTACGCAGCTGATTCACAATGATTGAACGCAAGAGAGAGTGATTTTTCTATTAGATCGTAAAGAACGCAAGAATTATCGGTATCCAGAAGATTAAAACATTCTTTTTTATCAAAACATAGCATTTGAAATTCTCCACAAAACCATATATGACAAAACGCTGAAACTATTTTAGATATATTTGAAAAAACGTGAAAAATAAAGACATACAAAAACCTGTAAAAGTAACGGTTTGTACATAATGAATGGTCGCACTTTGCATCCCATTTTTTCAATACTTACGTCGTTCTATTAGAAAAAAAAATATACCAAAAGCTGCAGCGTGAAAAGCTTTACAATTTACATAAGACCGCGTATTTTATAGTTGCACTTTTTGTTTTCGAAATAGAAAAAATTTTGAGCGATCAAATTTCGACTGTGCGAAAATGGTATATTTTTTTGGTAGAAGATGAATTCGTTTTTTCTTATTTTATCTTTTTATAATTTGTTCTTTGTAAATCGTAAAGCTTTTCACGCTGCATCTTGTGGTGTATTTTGTTTTGCTTTTTAATAAAACATATCAGGTAATAAGAAGATGAAATAAAAAAAAACGAATTCATGTTGTACCAAAAAACTATTATTTTCGCACGATCGAAATTTAATCGCTCAAAATTTTGTCCAGTTCGAAAACAAAAAGTACAACTATAAAATAAACTATCTTATGTAAACTGTAGAACTTTTCACGCTGAACTTTTTGTTTTTTAATACGGCGAAGTGATGAAAACATTGAATACAAAGTGTAGCCATTCATTATGTACAACCCGTTACTTTTTACAGCTTTTTATATCTTTATTTTTTGATCTTTTTTTTTCAAATATATCTAAAATAGTTTCAGGACTTAGTTATATATGGTTTTGTAGAGAATTTCAAGTTTTATCTTTTGATAAAAAAGAATGTTTTAATGAAAGGGATAATAGAGGAAAAATCTTTAAAATATTACGAGGGCCATTATTTATGACCCACTCATTATTATTCCTCATCATTTTTTTTTCTTTTTCTATTTGTTTATCATTCTTAAATGCTTCTCAAAGATTCGAATCAAAACTTTATCTGCTGCATATTTTTTCACTGCGTGTATAATACAGAGAAAATAATTATTTTATTAATATGTAATCATTCATATTAATATCTAATCATCAGTATAAATTTAACAAATACGAAAAAAGATTCAATTTCATCATGTCCTCTGTTTTATTGACATACGCATTTGCGCAGTGATATCTCATTCGATCATTTATCAACTGAACATATCGTCGTAAAAATTGCTCATGTCGCAAAACTGGACACAATAAGAGATGCAATGATTACATTTCTCTTTTTCTTTCTGTCTTTTTGCCTTTGTTTGTCTTTTTATCGATCTTATATATATACAAATATATGTGTGTGCGCGTGTGCTTCGACTTTTAGTAGCTAATAAGAGAAAAATCGACGTGCAGCTTTGCCAACCAACAATAAAATAGACAGAAAGAGAGAGATGAAGCGAAGCAAAAGAATACTCCGTCCGCCGCACTAGTGTAGTGGATGATGCAGTAGTGTGTCGCTCGAAGAATCATTTTTTCTTCTTTCGCGTTTCATAACCCGTCCTCTTTAATTTCAATCAAGTTTGACTAGGGTGCACTGTGTCTATTTGCTTCATCTACCTTTTTCCTTCTTTCTCATGAATATTGTGACTCATTGATAACCGAAGACTTTGATCTTTGTTTTTATACTTGAAGATCTTTTTGATTCTATTTTGAACTGTCTGAAATTTTCTCATAATAATGGACTCTGAAAATCATGATTTTAATTCAACGCCAGGCAATTGGAATGTAAGTGCATCATCTAATGATAACAATGAAACACCAACAATAAATTCAACGAATCCAAATTATCGTCCAGTTATTGATTCATTGGTTGATAAAAGCAGAACGGAATCACGACGAGATCAAGAACATGCTGAAAATATTGTTTCAAAAACAAAAAAACTTGTTCAACAACAGTGTAAGTTAAACATGGCAGACTGTTAACGTCTCTATATTTTTTTAATCTGCTTTGGCTTAGTTATATTTATTCACATAGACAATTTTTTTACACAACTAAAGAAAATTAGTCTTGGGAATTGAGATTAATGGGCAAAACATAACTTTCACAACTTTTTTTTTCTCTTATTGAACACAGTTTATTGTTGACAACTTTTCTTTCCGCTTTCATTCGTTAGTATGCGGTTTGGTGGTCGTCGAACAAGACGTCAATTTCCATATATGAAATCTGATTTAGTCAATCTATAGAATATTCTCCAGTGAAAGAAATGTATTAGTGCACATGCTCTTCTTTCATCGAACTTACAAACAGCCAAATGACATCATTCTATATATAATTGTGCGCGTGCTATTCATCATGATTTCCCTTTAGTAATTTCGTCGTCACCATCATCCGTTACTGCTCATACAAGATCCGAAAAGGAAAAAAGAATAGAGCATGAAGAAGAAAAAGAACGAGAAGAAGGAAGAAAAAAGTCTATGGATGTTGATAGATGTACTTCGGACTGGGTCTATTAATGTTTTTTTCTTCTTCTTCGTTCTAGCATTGTGACGAACAAGAAGAAAAAGAGAAAGCTCACGAGATTATATATTCCTATTGGCAAAGAACCAAGTATTATTTTTTTTGTTTATTTTAGGGGATCAAGCTCGTCATTCACTTGTTCAAATACGAAGAAAGGTTAGCCAAATGGTACCAAAACCAGGTATAAAAATAAATATATAAACATTTTTTTTTCTTTGTTCTAAGTATATTTTCTCAATTTTTAGCACATAATCTTATTTATTGGCGAAATCCAATTCAATCTGGTGTTGTTTTTGGTGTTTCATTATCTGTTATTATAACATTTATGTTTTTGTCATCGTTGGCGGCCATTTCGTTTTGGTTACTTGCATTTCTTGTAGTCGTTGGTCTCTACAAAATGTATAATTATGTCATGATGACATTCGTTGGACGTGCTCAGAGTGACATATTTGAGTAAGAAAATGCATGACATCTTAAAATTATCAATGAATTGTTTGTTTTTTGAATATTTAGTTTAATGTTTCCATCTGATATGTCTATCTCGGAACAGCAGGCTAACGATTTAGCTCATAGCATTCGTGTTAATGGAACAAGTTTATTAAAACATGGAAGAAATCTTTTCTTGTGGAAAAATTTAACAAATTCAATTCTTGTAAATAATATTTATGAATATAAATCTTTTTGTAAATTTAATTTTCATATTTTTTATAATTTAGTTTGGTCTTATACTTTTTGTTTTCTTCTATATTGGTTTATCAATGAATGCATTAACATTTGCACTTATTGGTTTAATTTTCATTTTTACTGTACCAAAAATTTATCAAGTATATCAGGTTAGTATTGATTACTTTTTTTTTTTATTATGATTTTATATATTTTTTTTTCGCTTTGTCAGGTACCAATTGATCGTACTGCTAAGACAGTACTCGATCAAATTAACCAACTTTTGGCTAAGTAAGTCTATTTAAAATCAATGTATTATTTGTACATTATTTTATATTAATATTATAGAGCTACATCAAAATTACCAAATAAAGCGAAAAAAAATTAAGCAACAATTACGAAAAACGTTTATTTTATTCATATATGTTCAATCAAATCTTTTTTAGACAATTTATGCTAAACTGTTTTTCTTTTCTTTTTTTCTTGAAACTAAATATACAAGATGGAATTAAGTGCTAGACATTGTCTTTTTTCTTGATATACTTTTGTGTGTACACTTGTTGGTTGAGTACAAGATATAGCCAGGCATGGTATGCGTTTCTGTCAGTGTTCGTTTTCTCGTTTCCTACTTTTATATTCTTCATGTTGTGCGTCAATGTTCGTTTATCTCCGCTTTGTCACTCTCAGTATTAACTTTAGAACATGAAAAAAAAGAAACATCTTTCTATAAAAAGCCAAAGATCAGAGTCAAACATCTGTTAATAGCTTGCCATCATATGCATAAATGTTTTTATTGGAAAGGTCTCGATTTGAAAATTGCCGTATTGTTGTCCTTTTTTAGCATCGCATATTTTGGCTATTTTTTATACCAGTTTGCTCTAGAATAACAGAAAATAAAATAAATAAAGATCGCTTGCATTTTTTTATGTATAAAAAAGAAAAAAAAAAGAAAATTGATAGTAGAATTCTTTTATTTCTTATTCTAATTTATTAAATAGATGTCTTCCAACTCGATTGTGGAATTATACCCACACCCAAATTTGAGACCTTCATCGAATGATGTGTTTTTAAAACATATAACATTATTAGATGCACAAGCTCAACAGACATTACCGAAACTGACAATTCCAAAAGTACTTGTCCTTTATACAGGTTTGCATTAGATCATATCTCATTTTAATTGTACCCCCCCCCCCCTTCCCATCTGCCCTCCAGTCTCTAGAAATAGAATACAAACAAAAATAAATTATTGTTGCTTTAGGCGGTACAATTGGTATGAAAGTATTACGTAATGCATATGAACCCGTAGCAAATTTTTTACTTTCTGCACTACGTGGAATGAATATTATGCATGATACTCAATTTGCCGAAACAATGAATGAAATTGATCCTGCAAAATCTTTTCTTTATTTACCGTTAAGTGGTTTCATATATGATTAACAATAAATTTTATGCAATGATCTTTGTTTTTAGACTTGCAAATGAAGAATGCATTGCATATTATATTAAAGAATATGTTCCATTACTTGACTCAGCGAATATGACATTTGATAATTATATTCATATTGCACTTGATATTAAAGCAAGAAGAAAATTTTTAATAAAGAAAACAATTTCTTGATATTTATTTCTATTTTTTTCATTAAGGAAGTTTATGAATTATTCGATGGATTCGTTAGTAAGTTAATAATAAATTATTGAAATAAAATTTCTTTTTTTTTGTGTTTTCGTTATGTTTAGTTCTCCATGGTGTAAGGCAATAAATAATGCAATAAATAATGATTAATTTATAATTTTGAAATAGACCGATACAATGAGTTATACAGCAGCAGCTCTTTCATTTATGTTTGAAAATCTTGCAAAGCCCATTGTACTTACAGGATCACAAGTAGACGAAATAGACGATATTATATATTCAAGATAATATTATTATTCTGTTTTAGATCCCAATCTTCGAGACACGAAGTGATGGCCGAGACAATCTTATTGGAAGCTTACTCATAGCAGGGCAATACCATATTCCAGAGGTTATTTACATTAGAAAAAAATTAATGAAACATTTTATTTAAATATTTCAAGGTTACTGTTTACTTTCGAAATCGACTTTATCGAGGAAATCGTGTGACCAAAACCGATAGTGAGGGTTTAAATGCATTTGAATCACATAATTTTCCAACATTAGCAGAATTTCGAACTAAAATTGAAGGTATAAACTACAGTAGTGAACAAAAGTCTTCTTCGATCCTTGTATCTCGACTACTATACGTGCTGTAAATTGCAGAATTTCCATGCACACACTCCACTAAGAATGTTGGTCTATACTTCTGGAAAAAAAATTGTAGATTGACCAGTTCTTCACTATTTAGTGGTATTTTCCTGTTATTTACCGCACTGATTGCATCAAAATTCATCAGCCTTTATTAGAATTGTAGATAGTTGTCCATAACCATTCGATTGGGGGAAAAACCTATATTCAAGCCGTTGAGAACCATAACTCAGTAATAGTTCAGTGATCTGGTTGAAAGTTCTACATAAGTTTTATCTGTAATTGGACATTATTACATATAAGTTTCATGAAAGAATCTTCCATGAAATGAAAATGGTATCCGAATACAGAGATCTCAGAGGCATGCAGATGCAACAATCTTTGGCTGAATATGTGCATGAAAATTTTCAAACCTTTAGCATGTATCGTAGCCGAGATACGGAAATAAAAAGTTTTTGTCCACTACTGTATGTTTGCTATCGAACAAATCTACACATAGTTTGTCTTTCTTTTCTTAGTTAAATGGGATTTAATAGTCGATCGATCATCTGAAGGTCCATTTAATGTTCATACAAATTTGAATCGAAATGTTTCACTTCTTCGTCTTTTTCCTGGTATAACATATTTAACAGTACGCCAATTTCTTGAACCACCGATTCAAGGTGTTGTTTTCCAAACATATGGATCAGGAAATTTACCTACAAATCGACCAGATTTAGTTGAAGAATTACGTAAAGCAGCTGAACGTGGTGTTCTTATTGTTAATTGTACACAATGTGCAAAAGGAAGTGTTTATTATGCGTATGAAAGTGCATCATCATTACAAAACATAGGCGTTTGTGTAGGATCAGACATGACAATAGAGGCTGCGCTAATGAAAGTCAATAATATCATTTTTCAAATAAAAAAAAAGAAACAAATTTTTTGATTGATTTCAGTTATCGTATGTCTTGGGCAAATATTCATCAGATACCAAACTAATGAAAATGAAAATGGCTGAAAGTTTACGAGGTGAAATGTCTGCAGATTCATGTAAAATAAAATGTCCAACAATGAATCTTGATTGGATATTAAATGCAACCAATGATGAATCGAATGAGGTTTTCATTTATTTTGCATAATTTTGTGTCCTGAAAAGATTGTTGTTTTTTGTTATTTACTTATTTAAGGAATCGGCTCAATTCCGTAAATCACTATTACCTTGGTTAATTGCAACATGTGCTCAAACGGATGATATAACTACCCTAAATCATATACACAAATTTCAAAGTGGTATTAAATTTAATATTATATTACCATGTGGTTCAATGCCACTTCATGTTTGCGCTAAACATGGTGCAATAAAATGTGCGGATTTACTTCTTCGTATTGCAAATAATGAAAATCCGATTGTTAATGAACCTGATCAAGTTGGTTTCACCGCAATTTTTTATGCTATTCTTCAAAAGAATGAACCTATGATTGAATTATTAGTTCGTAGTGGTGCAAAATTAACAGCAACATTAAAACCAAGTGAAATAGGAATGTATTTATGTAATTGTGTTAAAAATAATCAAGTTGATCAATTAAAATCATGGCATAAAGCAGGAGCGAATCTTGATCAAACTGATTATGATGGTCGAACGCCACTTTTATTGGTAAATTAGTTATGCTTTATTATATAAAAAGAATTGATTATCTTTTGTTTTTTCTCTTAGGCTGTAAATTATAATTCTATTGATTGTGTTCATTATTTATTAGATAATGGAGACATCGACATCTCATGGTCTGATAGTCGTGGCCTGACACCAATCCAAGTTGCTAAACAACGTGGTTTTGATAGTATTGTTCAACTACTATCGTCCTTTACAAAAAGTCAATAAAAAAAACAGCTAAATCAATCCTATAACATTACATCATAAGTCTCACAAATCTCACCCTTGAATAGTTGTTAAATGTATGCATGTGTTATTGTTTTTTTGATGTTGTTAAGTTTTTTCGAATTCTTTTCACTAACCACCCAAGACAGTTGCTTGTGTTTATCGAATTTGATTTTTTATTCTAGATAGAAAATTGACGAAATTCAGCAGGTTTCGTTTTAAATATCTTTTTGATTTTGAACAGCGACGACCAATTGAGTATGACAAGACGTTTTATTTAAGGTTTGAAAAATTTCGTTTTTTTTCTTCTTAAATCAATCAGTTTCATTGGAATTTTTCTCATACACAAGAAAGGTATAAACTTAATAGATTTTTTTCATAATGTAACCGCACGTAAAATACATTGTTCGATAATGTGATATAAATACTATGTTGATTTATGATTAGGGAAGGGTTGTAAAAAGAAAAGAAATAAAAAACTAGTTAGTAATTTATATGATGCAGCTGTAAAAACATATTAGCATGAAGATTTTAATGAATACTAATTTATTATTTTATAAAAAATTCAAGAGAATATATATAAGTGAATGATACAATATTGATAAATTTTTTGTCGCTGTTTTTTTATATCTATAAACAATAATTGTCTATATTTCGAAAGTATTTCATGTCGTAAGTCATTTAATGTTATCCGAGCATAGTTAGTCGTGCAAGTTTATATAAAACCACAGAATAGAAACGTTTTTTTTTCTCGAATTTATTGTTAAAATATAACAGCGTCGAATAGACTTCGAAAAATATGCAGTCACTTGCTGAGCTCATTGTCTACTAAATTACTAGTATTAGAGAGAATGAAAGAGAACGTATCGAGGTATAATTATTACATATAAATATATTCGAACTCTATAGCCTTTCAGTCAAAATTCTTTATTTTTCTTTCCTTGACTATTATTCCTCTGTTCGTTAACGTATCTCCTAGGAAAAAGTATGAAAAGGTTACTTATGTAAATATATAATCGTTTTCAGTATTTTTCTTTTTATACTTCCAAGTAAGAACTTTCTAGTAGAAAATATCTGCTTGTGATTGAATTCTTTTGCTCTCTGAATCATCTAATCTTTACTCTTTGATCGTCGGTATTTTCACCTTGACTATAGTCCAAACTTTATCTGTTCGTATCTTGACTTTTCTTATCTTCTTTCTTTGTTAGTTGTTCTACACACGCATGTATATCCCGTTGTCTGTATATAAAGAGAAGCATGTGCCTTATTTTCTTTCACAAGAATCTGTGTATATCATTATAGCTTTTCTAGACTGATATTTCTCTTATTATTCGTTTGAATAATGTTTAGCTTTCAAACTCTATCATGTCTTCATGACATACCCGGTAAGAAAATTTAAAATATGTCTTGAGTATGTTTTTTATCATTTCATTTTTAAAGTTGTTCGTTCATCAACTAATAAACTTCAAGATGTGTATACCAAAGCTAAGGATACAAGTGCACTTATTCGGGTTCCATGTTGTTTAGCAGAGACAGTTGCTGATAAAGTGTTAAAAATTGCTCTTACAGTTGCTAATCCCGTTGTTAAACCATTATGTGGACCTGGTAAATTCGTTAAAAAAAAACTTTTTTTAAGACCTTTATATAAGTTCTAATAATATAGTACATGCAATTGACAATTATGCTGCTCAAACAATTCGTCAAATCGAATCTAAATACCCTGTGATTAATACACCAACTGAAAACGTTGTGGATACATTCAACGTGAAAACAAAACCGGTTCTCAATGTAGTGAATTCAGTGAGAGATACAACAACATCAACAATTCAACATGGCAAAGAGACTGTAAAAAAATTATTTCGATTTACTTTTTATTTATTTATTTATTTTGAATGTTTAGGTTTCTAATGTAGCAACAGCTACAGTAAATAAAGCATCAGGTGTGGTTGATTCTGTATTTTCGTTTTGTGAAACACATGCACCTAGAAGTACGTAAATAATAATAAATAAGTTATTTTTTTGTGAAACATAATGTAAAAGGGCTGTTGAAGTTTATAGGGTAGAAATTTGTACCTCCTACTCCCACACACTGTGATAGACGCCAGTTATAGACCGTCACAGATGGTGACAGGAGTTAGCCAGAAATTATCACATACTCTGACATACGTTGTTGATATACGATCACAGACTCTATATCAATAACAGCTCGTTATAATATATTAACTACTTTCTTATTGTATTTCTGGAGGACTAAGTAAAAGGAGTGTGAAGAAATGTGTCGTAGGATAGAAAGAATAAAACAATCTTCTGATATTAGCAACATCGTGTTTCACATTTTAATGTGATAAGAATTACACTAACAGCTTTTTAAATGTCTCTTTCTAATTTTTCTAGTGCAATGTTGTAATGCCGGTAAAACAAATCAATTAAATGAATATATTTGTTCAACTGCTGGTTCATTATTTAATCATGTATTTCAAATGGTTCAACCACCTTTGTTATGGTTTAGAATGTTGGTTGCAAGCTGCTTACTAAAAACTAAACAAACAAATGATGTTTTACTTACTAAAATGCAACAAAAACGATTTTTACCTGTTTTACCACAACGATTATTAATTTTAGTCGGTAGTTTCTTGGAAAATGTTACTAGACTAATTATGCCTAATGATGCTACAATGGCTGAACAAGCAAAACCTTGGCAACAAACTCAACAACAAAATAGATTTAGTTCATTATCACAGTATTTTTTTAATCGGTACGAAAAATGAAAATAGTTTTAAAAAAACTAACTATTAATTATCTTTTCTACTCTAATAGACAAAACTTGAAACCTAATCTGTCTGCAACAGGTAGTAAAAAAGTTGTTATTAATCAACGAGAAACAAGCGCAAATCGTACAAGGAATTTCAATAATATTTCAAAACCACAACCCGATTATTCGAATATGGCTGATGTAGAAGAATTACATGCTCGATTAGCTTCGAATGATTTACGTGAATCAACTTATGATATGGGCAATGATATGTCGACCACAGAACCTGTTTATTGTGCTCCGAATGATGAACTTACACAATTACATGATGGCTTTAAACCAACCGATGTTAAACTTCTTTTTTCTGGATTATCTCCTGATGGTTTACCAAAAATAGATGATCAAGAACCTTTAACTGAAGATCAACAACAACTTCATGCTAGAATTATTGGTGCTGGATTAGAAGAGCAAGGTTATCATGTAGACGATAATGATAATGATGATTAAAAGTGAACAAACTTATATTTACTGTACCTTCGTTTTTTATAAGTTTTTCATGTTTTTTTCTCTTTTTGATTTCACTAGTATTTTCTTTCAACTTATCTTGGTTTTTTGGTTTCATTGTTATTTCGTGTTATTATTGTTGATCTTTTTTTCATGTTTCTATCCATGCTATCATTCATTATTCCATGATCTAGAGTTAACTTTTGTTGAACGATCGCATGTGTGATCAATCGTAAAAGTTGTTCTTTTCTTTTCGATAAAACGTATCTACCAACGATAAAATGTTTGTGAATCGTATTTTTCATTGATACTTCCATGGATAGTTAACCGCAAAAAAAAACACAAGCTATCCAGAAGATTTTTTTATCTGTAGTACTTTGTGAAGCTCGTTACGTTGATCATTTTGGTAAAAAAAAAATGTTCTGATTTACAAGCCTTGTGTTGTTGGTAGTATAAAACAATGTGAAAGAGAGAAGGAAAAATAAACAGCAAGAAAAAGAAAAGAGAATATTTATACTAACTTATGAAGGAAGTCCTCTGACTTTGCAATCAGTTTTGAGTCGAGACTATATGTATTATACAGATCCATATGAGCTATTAATTCCCTGAATAGAATTCCGACTCTTACATTATTGCAACTGAGGTATTGCACTTTTACAGCAGCTTTTTAAATAAATGCAGTGGTTCCTTTCTGAAACATTAGAAAAACTGATTTTCAAATTTAGACTTTAAGCTTTGTACAAAGACAGGCTTTAACGAGTGTAGTTTATTATGAAAGTTCAAAATCTTTTGATTTACTTGTATCCAGTTTTTCACTTATGAATTGTCCTAAGTTTCTGTTTATGGATGTTCATTGGGATGTAAAAAATGAAATGAAAACATTCAAGTTGACTGAACATATAAATCTCACCTCAATCATATCCAATGATCTCATATTTACTTATACGCTCGATACACTTTACAAACGTTCATTATTCATCTAAAAAACAATGACCTTGAACATTATATTACATATGATCGTCACAAGAATGACTAGTACAAACTTGACGATATGAAAACGACTTTAATTACTTACGAAAGTTTATTCGGAGAAAAAGCACCAAAACAACCGATCGTATTAACAAACTTCATTCGACCACCGCTAACCGACGTATTCTCGAGTGCTTTGTGGAATGTTTTCACCAACTTTTCGCAGGAATAAACTACATTACCTCCTACTTTATACTTGAACGAAGCAGTTGCTTATTTCACAAAACATGATCTGAGCAAAACTAATGCTCTCGACTTTGCATCTGTTAGTTCTTTCAAATGTTCTATTTGTGGAAAAGGTAACGTATTGGTAAATGTTTTATCAATAGCTTAGTGGGAGGACAACGTAATGTCTCTGGATGATGTCGTGCTGAGTATAGTTTCATTAGGCCTGCGACAGCTCACAGTTCTATGAATTAGTTGTTTTCCGAGAACTGGTTCCAATCGTCAGTTGTTTTAAAACGAATTGATCCCCAGTTCCAGTTCTTTTAGAAAGAACTGGGTGACTGATACCAGTTATGTTCTTTGTTCGGGAACTGCCATAGGGCTAGCTTTAATTGCATTTTTTGATTTACTCTAAATAAAAATTGAATTTTCTATCAATTTATTCTTATCTTTTCAGACAACTTTGCCACAGAGACATTGCATCATGTATGATCAATGGACATGAAGATGGCATATATCAATGATTCTCTCAACAATTTTCTACAAAACAGTTTTGAATGTTCATCGTATCATACACTTGGACTATCAAATGCCATTCTATTTGATATACCAGAATTTCTGCTGCTGAGTACACTATGTAATACTAAATGTATTACATTAATTGAAGACGTCGATCTTCTCTCTATCCAACCGCTGCCTAACAGCTCGATGATCGAATATAGCATTCAAACAGTCTTAGTTGTACTCGAAGATGATGAAATTATAGTCCTGAGAAAAATTCATGATGGCTACACGTTATTCAATAAGAATAGCAAGCGATTCGAATTGTTGCACATTACAGTGATTTAAGAAACTGTTTTAGCCTTGAAATGAATAGTTTATGTATATGAAACGAACTCTCATGCTTTTGCTTTAATTGGTCTTCGAAAAGTGCATAGATCAAAGTGAATTGAGTTCTTTGCCCGAACCGGATGATATGGTGGCTGGCGTAGTACAAGATTTGCTTTCATCTTTTGCTCGACAGTTTGACGTTAGTGCCTTTGAACTAAATACTACTGATATTACTCGTCTCTGCAATACAGAAGGCTTGCTTAATGATATAATAATAAATTCGTCTTTATACATCACCGCATCGAATACTACAGTAGCAGATCGTGTGTTGGCTGCTTCCAGCTATACAGTGTCAAACATACTTCGTAGAAGAATAAACAATTTGGCACGTACCTGGCTTTCATTCAATATTATACTGTGTCCAATTAATTAAAACAATCACTGGTACATGCTAATATTCGACCAAGATAAAAAATGATTATTGAGCTTAATTCCATGCTCTCGCATGATTTTCCTCGATTTCATAATAGGACTCGTCTAGCAAAGCTTTTAAATATTCAACACACGTTGAAAACGAGAACCACAATTGATTTTGATAATGAATAGAAATTATTAACTCCAAATGATGATAAAAAATTGCAACAAACGGATATCTCATCCTGTTGTGTACATATACTGATTCAAACATTTGTCTATATTCAAAAGAAAAAGTTCGTCGTGATCAATGATTCAAATGCTCAACACTATAGGTATCAACTTGCCGAAAATCTTTTAAGAAAAGTAGAGTCTGTCTTTGATGATTCTGATCTTATAGTAAGTGTTTATTGACCTAGTGAATGCTTTTCTTTTTAAACTTCTCTTTGCAGACCACTGAACAAAGCCATATACACTCAAAGTCAACCAAGATTGGCACAGCTAAGAAGTAATTATAATGTTAGAAATACTATTGCTTGACATTATATCGATTAATCTCCTTTTTCGTCGTTTGTATTTTATTTACTTGAATAATGCCGTAGCAATTTTTTTTGAAATCCATTCAATTACAGAACATATGACAAAGCATAGTAGAACATGTTATCATTATGTTTCTTGAACTAACTAGATGCATTATCATACGACACATTTTACTGTCTAATACTACAGATGCTTAATAATAATATAATAGCCATAAACAATTTATATTACCTCGATCACTATATGAAGTATTCATAGATCATGATTATTTTCACGCGATAACGTCTCAAGATTAATAAATTATATCTATAATTTGATGAATATGTATATCGAACTCATCAGATTTTTAGCATTTTAAATTATAAAAAGTTCTTTATTGTGCATAATTCATCATATAATGAACATAGTCCTATTATAGGTTCATTCAATATAACGCAACCTCAAATAACAAATAAAAAGTGAGAATCAGTGAAACATGTTCCGATTCAACAGAGTTCTAGTGATCAATATCTATTTTTAATAAACGCAGTACGTATGTTCTTTATGAGAAAATCGAAATTGTTATATATTTTCTATAAGATTTGAACTACTAAAGATATAGTTTTGTTCAATATGGCAGATAGATAAATCAACAGAATATAAAATAACCGAATCATTTTCATGAAACTCTTTGTGTCTAGTTATCTATTAATATGAATCGATTTAGGAGCCAAGACATATATTAACTCCATATGAAAACATCTGTTTCTTCAGCAGAAAAATGTCTCTTTTATTACTACGCACATTAGCTCTCGCTATAGTTATTTGCTAAACATCATCATGAGCACTGAAACTTAATTCTATATAATTTCCCTACATTGACGTCATTCTGAGCAAATATTTTGTATTGCGTTCTAATACATATAACATGTCAGAATAGGTTAGATATCAAATATTTTAATTGAATCATCTCAAATAGAAAAGAACAATACAAACGAAACAAAGAAAGAAAATATTTCTCCAAAGTCGCTGAATCAAGAAAAGATATAGAATTATGCAAGAATTGTTGACGATGGTGTATTGACCACGATAAGTTCGATGAACTTCTGAAGATCATCTAGAAAGACAAAAGTTTGGCAAGTCCTTAAAATGCCAAGCCTATTTTGATTTTATTTGTGTCACCGTTCATAGTCTTTATATTTCAAGGTCCACCAAGCAGTCTAGAAAACAATCGAACGTATAATATGTTACAACTAAAGTGAAATTTTACCTTGTATTTGCAATTATTTCTAAAAAAATTGAACAAATAGTAGCAGCTAAATCTAGAAAATGTTGTGAAAAAAGCCCAAAAGAACTTGTAGAACATCATAAAAATTAACAAATCTATGGTTCGCAACGTGTGTTCAGGTCGATGTAGTCATTATTATTGGTAGCATTACTGTTGTTGACATCGTCGTTGATACTGTATTTATTAATGTAACATTTACCTGTTGTTCAAGTAAAAACTCGGCAAAAGATTTGTACCTTTGTATCTAAAAGCGACAGAATAATGATTATAAGCTGAACATTATTATACTCACATTTCCTAATGTAATAACTCCAAAAAAGAGTAACGACGAAATATACTTGATGAGAAATAGCATTGAATATATGATGAATGTCGATATCAGAACGAGTTGAATATGATCAAACAAAAAAAGAAATGCAATATATATATTCTCATTAATTACTTGACAAAAATTTGTTTAACAATTCAGTAGTGACCATCTAACAAAAAATTTACATGACATCAAAGTACAGTCTAAAATTATGTAATTGAATTACATATAAAAATTTTCTTGTTCTTGCATCTTTTCTTTTTACATAGTTCCATTCCAAGAACAATACAAATTCCGTTTTTTATTGAAATTTTCGGAAACATTTCTCTGCTTTGATCTTTTTCGCTTCAAAAAGAGACAATCATCATTAGTGACGACTCTCTGACAGATATGCCTTATGCTGATTGCCTTTGAGATGCCACAGTCAGAGACTAAGAAATATCTTGA